TATAAAGTTATAGATCTTACACATTTAATGTATTTCAATCTATTGCAGCCATTATTATCTTTGATCATCAGATGGCCCCCTTCTTTAGCCAATCAGAATCCTTTTCAGATTGGCTCCCATGTCCTTTTTAGATTGATTAGCTGATGCCAGAGGGCATGTGCGCACATGAGAGAGAGTAAGAGAGACAGAGATAACTTCCCCTGCAATGGGGTCTGGTCATGCTGTAATCCTTTTCCTCCGCTTTTCTACCCTGTCAAGATATTGGCATTTGATGTGTTTCACAAGCTCTGGTCTAGGACTCAAACCCTGGTTGGCCACATGGGATCCAACTTCCTCTGTGTGGCATTTAACACCTGCACTACAGTGTCAGCATCCCCCATGCCCTTTCGGCATGATTCCTATCATCTTGAGATGAGCCTGGGACATCTTTCTTGATCACATCCTTGCTTTTGGGCATGAAAAATATCCCAAGCTCATGTTGTGAAGTTTATACTTCAGACCTAGGACCCACCATTTCCTCATGAATGTTTAATTCTGCTTAATTTTGAAAAACACTATTTAGAGCCCACAAATTGAGCATCAGGGTTGGTGACTGGTATGGAGTTGTCATTATTTCCAGTTCTTTCTAGTTGACGGAGCTTTTCCTTTTCTACATTTTTTTCTTTATTCATAATAAAGTATGTGTGTGTGCCTGAGAGAGAGAGAGAGAGAGAAAGAGAGATTGTCCATAATGTTTGGTCATGCTGCAATCTGCTTCCTCTAGTTCTCCAGCCTATTGGACCTTGGCACTTGCATATGTGCCTGGCATGTTTCAAATGGACTGGGCCAGGAATTCAAACTATGATCACCATGTGGGATCCAGCAGCTCTTGAGTAGCACATTACCTCTGCATCACAGAACCAGCCAGACAGGACTTTTTGTTAAAAAAGAAAAACAATTGGGACCAGCAGGTAGTGTAATGGCTATGTCGCTGGACTCCCATGTAGTTGACCGCAGTTCAAGTCCTGGACCTGGCAGCTTAAACTCATGCCAGGCGCATGTGCTTGCGTGCCCAAGATCCTGAGAGGAGAATGGAGGAGAAGGATTGCGGCATGGCCATCCCCCTGGGGGGTGATTTCTCGCTTTCTGTCTTTCTCTTTCTGGCGAGTGCATGTGCTCCATAGCCAAAACCTCTCCAAAAAAAAAAAAATAATAAAATAAATTAAAATTTGTTTTTCTTTTTTAAAAAATTTATTCACTTGTATGTTTTAATTTGATCAGACAGGGACAAAGTGAGAGAGAGAAAGTGAGAAAACAAGCCTCCAGGCCCAGGACTCAGTTCAGCCATGTGGGAGTCCTGCACCATTAACCACCACGCCACTTGCTGGCCCGTACAAATTTATATTTCTAAACCAAATTTAAACTCTTATATTTTTACCTGACTTATTTTATTTAATATTTATGTCTATTTTCTCTTATGCTGAAAAGTATGGTTTCTTATGACATTAGCATAATTATTTACTTGTTTTATACAGTACACTATAATAGTGATGGAGTTCATAACATGCTTCCCTAAAATATGGCACCTCGGGATCTGAAAAAACAGCAGAAGCAGGAAAGTCATTCTTACCTTCCTCTTAACCTCTTCTCCCCTGAAGAATGCCATAAAATCTCACTGATCTTCTTTAAAGGAGATCATGAGACCTTAATTCCAGAGGTAACCTCCCTTTATCCCAAGAAAAGGAATATCCAAATCCTTGAAGACACAGAGACATGGAAAAGAAGCTGAGCTAATAGATCTTATTAAGTTTCCCCAGATTATTACCATTAGGTCATACCTTTTTGTCTTGCAATCACATTTCTTCAGATATTCACTTCTTCATCAAGATTAGCATAAAAATGTACAGATTTCCTTGTTTTGGGGGGTTTTAGTTCTGAAGACTCTTGTGTCATGTAAATTTACGTTAAATAAATGTGCATGCTTTTCTATTGTTAATCCCTCTGTTGTTACAGGGGTCTAACCCACGAGCCTAGTAATGGGTGACAGAAGAAACTTTCCCCCCCACTATAGATTCAAAATAATGATAGTAATGTTGCTACTATTGGTAAGACTACTGACTACACTTTATTTCCCCTCAGTCCTGTGCCATGAAAGGTCGCATGCTATAAAGATTGCTTTGCATTTTGTTTTTTCACTTAACAATATATTTTGGTGTTCCGTTTTACAGCTGCATATTATTCCCTTGTGTAGCTGTATATGCATTATTTATAGTGTTTGGGCACAAATTTCAAATAATTTTTCTTCTTCTTTTTTTTTTTGGAGAGTTTTTTTTTTTTTTTTTTTTTGCTATAGGGCGTGTGCGCTCACCAGACAGACAGAGAGAGACATAGAGACATAGAGACCATACCCCAGGGGGTATGATCATGCCGCAATCCCTTCTCCTCCATTCTCCTCTTGGGATCTTGGGCACGCATGCACACACGCCTGGCATGAGTTTTAAGCCACTGGGTCTGGGACACGAACCACGGTCGACTACGTGGGAGTCCAGCGACATAGCCATTACGCTAACTGCTGGTTCCCAAATAATTTTTCACATTAGTATCTATTGAATGCCATGGTAATCTGGATATTTTATACAGGCTATAATTAGACTATAATTCAGCTAACTTTGATAAAAACAGAACACAAAGATTGGAAAAAAGTGCAAATTCTCAACTAAACATAGTAGATTGAATTTATACAATTGAGAAAGCAAAAGGAGCTCATATATGTGATAAGTGAAAAAACTATTTTGAAATGACCAATAATCTATCACTTTACTGATAACTTAAGATGGCTACAGTTTGTTTTAACACAGATTCTTTACTAGCATAGCTTGAAACAAAGGCAGGATCGGGGGTGGAAGATTGGCATGTTCCATCCTAGGGCAGTAGAATGAGAAAAGGGAGAGCAAATCAGTGAGGCATGTTTCTGAGCTGCCTCAGCTCTATAACAAATGTGGCTGGTTTCATAACGGTGAAAGTCCTCTCTGTGGGACTTCTGCTCTTCTGCATTGCATCATCTGGCCACTGCTTGAAGTTGCTGGAGGAGGAAGAGTCTCTGTCCGTATTGGCTGGAGGACGGGAACTAGGTCTTTTCTTGCCAGCCAGCTTCACACGTTGGAGTTCCCTGTTCTATGACATGGGAGGTAGCAGCCACTGTGCTTCTTGATGGCAGGAATGGTCTCTCCCACTGTGAAGCCCACCAGGCTGACGAAGGAGGCCTAGCCAAGTTGATCAGGTGCATGCATAGGGTCCGATGCACAATTTGAAATGAAAGCATCTAAGGCTTTCATCCTCATTCATAAATCTTTGATAACAAAAATTATTGTTCCCAATACAGAGCTAGAAACATCTTAAGAACCATTGGATATTTTTCCTTGACTTTAGAAAAGACCACAAGTTATTTACTTTTAAAAAATTCTGAAGGATATCTCATGATTTCCCCTCAGTAATGTATTTTAGTATCTAAACATAACAACTTATACCTTAAAAAGTCATGCAATGGTGCTGGTGGTGGTTAGGGTGCTGGATTCCCACATGGTCGACAATGGTTCCAGTCTTGGACCTGACGGCTTGCTTTCTCGCTTTGTCTCTCTCTCTGGTCAAATTTAAAAAATAAGTGAATAAATAAAATAATTCTCAAAAAATGTCATGGAACTGTATTGTAGCATACATATGACACGTGCTTAATCCCCTCACCTAATAAAAATACTAACCCTTTAAAAAGTCTAAAATTTATGATAATGAAAGGATGGGAACGATATTATCTTAAACCTGGACTGGGACATAACTTTTATATGGTGAACTGCACAATCTCCTCTTAAGAAGAAATTAGCATTTTTTATTTAAAAAATATTATACTCAACATTATGATAAATTTTAACAGAACTAAGAATTCTGAAAAACTAATGTCTTACTCTCCAAATTAGTTGATTGTCAGTCAAAAGTCTAATAGTCTTTAAACCAAATATTCTTTTTTTGTATTAGTGCGATTGGTATTTCTTTTCGTTCTTTTTTTTTTTTTTCAACTAAATGTCCCTAACTTGAGTGAATCTTTGAGTTGGTTTGTTTTAGCTCTCTTCTGTGATGATTTTGAGATAAAATTTAAATACATGTTCATAATTAAATTATCTGAAAGTTTTTTTAAACCATGGTGAGGCTCAGATATCAAATATTCATAGTATTCTTGTGATAATATACATGACTATTTTTTCCTTCAATGATAATGATTGCACGTGTGTGTGTCTGTACCCTACATTATCTCTCACTATATGATCAGTACATTAAAGAGGTAAAATCGTAGGAGTCTAGCAAAGACAACATTTCTGCTTAAAAGTCACAGACTAAAAATGGTTGGAGCCAGACCATTCCTTGACACATCATCCTATTAATATAGCACTTTACATGTAGTAAATACAGATTGCATTTATGTGGAAGAGGGGGAGGAAGGAAAGAGAGAAGGAGGAATGAAGGTATTGCATGCAAATTTCTTTGTCTCTGCCCTGGATAACACTGTTATCTGTATAGTGAAAACAACACAGGTGCTCATCACATTATTTTTGAATAAATGAATGAATGACTACTCCCTTAGGACTATTAGATATACTATTGCCGCTTCAAGGCAGAGATGGAGTAACTATCCTCAGCTTCCTTCCTGTTCTACGATTCTGTGGTTTCTTTGCTGTAAATTGGCTAGGCTGCAAATTTGTTTAAATGTCTGAAAACCAAAATACTTGCAGATGAAAGGCAGGAGAAAATATTTCTCAATGTGTCCACTCTAGCAGCAGGGAAGCTTCATACATATGAATATCGTTATCAATGATAAGTATCATTGGATGGGTAAATAATGTAAATGCATTAAAACTGTGTACACTGACAGCACTAACTTGAGGCTGGAATAAGAATCTTCGCTGTGTCCAGTTTAATTTTATCCGTATTATCTGCCCTGTTTTCAGCTGTGCACACACAAATACAAGCAACTGCCTTCCCGATGTAGAGTTTCTTGCGTTGATAAAGAAAAACTGCTGAAGTCATAAGCCTGCTCCAGGCAGAGCCCTCATGTGAGTCATATGAAAGCTCCATCCTGCTGACCTCTGGCAAAAAGGGAGTGAACGGGGACAGAAGAGGCAGAGGGGAAGAGGTTTTCTCCTTGAGCCTACGAGATTATGGGTCAAGAACTGTGTGCAAAGACTCTTCAGCCTGGATGCAGCTGCTATCGCAGTTCAGAGGGAGGCCAGGCACGCAGCTGTCTGAGGAGTCAACCCGTGACGATGGAGGCTGCGTTTGAGGTATTTGTATCCCGGGAGGAGCTTCTTTATTACCAAACCAAGGAGTTCAGAGAGTTCCTTTCTGTAGCGGGGTCTGATTCTTCTGCGGTAGGTCTAGACCTATAAAAAGAAAATTCTGTTAAAGTCACAGAGAATTTATGGCTGTTGTTATCAAATTAGGGGATTTTCTTATAAATCAAAAGCTTTGGGCTGCGTGAAACTCTCTTGACTTGAAGTCAAGAAAGTAGTTCTCTGGAAATCTCTGCAGTGCTAAATTGCAGAGCTGAGCCCCCAAAGACAAGCTGCAGTATTGGTTGGGCTGCTGTGGATTCCGAATCTCAGTAATTAACTCACGATTATTAGCAATGCCATATTAGATTATCCCCGAAAGCAATAAATTAAGTGGAGTTTTTTTTTTTCTTTTTTTAAAGCCCAATTTAAACAGAAAAAATGGGGGAAAAAAAATCCATCAAAGAGACTTAGATTACCTTAAAAGTGTTAAGATATTTTTAAGTGAAGAAAGAATGTCGTATTTCAGCAGTTGATACCGTTATGGCCTTTTGTAAGGAACAGACTTTCCAGAAAGGGGCCTTTGGGAGGTGTAGGTAGCTTAGAAAAACATTTGAAGAGTGAAAATCAGATAGAAAGGAAAAATGATTTTGCCAACCTCTCTCACTCTTGACTTTGCATATATTTTATTCCTGCTCTTTGCTTTTTCTCTAGCTAACAGACCTAAAAGAAGCATCATGTGCTATGACTTCATTTCACCCCAGGGGACTTCAGGCTGTCCGTGCAGAGAAGTTCAAGAGTAAAAGGCCACGCAGTAACAGCGATTCTTCTCAGGAAGAGGATCTGAGGCAGGGTTTTCAGTGGGTGAGTGAGCAGCTGATGTTGAACAGGAGAATTTAATGCATGCGTGTCTGGAGGGCTGGCCTTTACTTTCAGGGCAATTACGGAGAGACCTTCCCAATAAACCTTGGCAATGCTATTTTATATCCCTGGAGGGAAAAAAAAAAAGTCAACATTCAAAAAAAAGTATTTTCTCTCTTCCCCACCTTTCCCCATTGCCTTTAAACAGAGAAAGAACCTCCCTTTTGGGTCAGCCTCGTCTTACTTGAACTTGGAGAAGCTGGGTGAAGGTTCTTATGCTACAGTTTATAAGGGGATTAGCAGGTGAGTGACTCATAGCTGGAAGAGACTTGAAAGATGAGGGTCTCTCTCCCTTTGCTGCATATTGTAAAGCCAGGCAAGACATTACACAGGTTCAAGGTATTCAGGACCTGGGCTGGACACCATGGCCGAATAGGGAGAGAGACATGATGCTTTTAAATAATAGCCTTGAAAGAAAAGCAAACCCCACCCAAATTAAATTCAGCCTGCTAAAATATCTATCAGTCTGTCCCCTCTTCTACTCAATTCAAAGAATTCAAAGAAAATAAACTTTCTCTACAGCCAAAAGAAACATTACCCCCTTGGGAACCAGCAGTTGGCATAATGGCTATGTCGCTGGACTCTCACGTAGTCGACCACGGTTCATGTCCTGGACCTGGTGGCTTAGAACTCACGCCGGACACGTGTGCGTGCGTGCCCAAGATCCCTAGAGGAGAATGGAGGAGAAGGGATTGCGGCGTGACCATCCCCCCTGGGGGGTGATTTCTCGCTTTCTGTCTCTATGTCTCTCTCTGTCTATCTGGCGAGCGCACGCGCCCTATAGCGAAAAAAACTCTCAAGAAAAAAAAAAAGAAAGAAAGAAAGAAAGAAAGAAAGAAAGAAAGAAAGAAACGTTACCCCCTTTAGGCTGGTGGAAGGCAGAATTGGCAAGCCGTCTCTTTTCATAACTCTTTCTACCTCACAATGGAGGTTCACAATAGCAGCCTTGAGCCTACTGTTTCATTTTATTAATTTTCCTGTTGAGAAGAAACTTAGGTTGGTTTCTGCAAAGTAGAGCATATGCATAAAAGAGAAACTCTGGGTCTCCTGCACCTATGAACTGTACGGAATGACCAGAGAATGAAATATTGTTTATCCTGGGACACTCAGTGGCCTGGTGGTTAAAGCAACTGGATCCCACATGGCTGACTATATGGTTGGAGTCTCAGATTTGGAAAAATCAGAAGGTCTGATTAGGGTCAGCAGGTGGCATGGTGATTAAGACACTGGACTCTCACATGACTGGTCACGGTTCAAGTTCTGGGCCTGGAGCTTGCTTTCTTATCTACCCCCCACCTCTGTCTCTCTCTGATAAGTACATGTGCCCTATAGCAAAGTAATAATAATAATAATAATTAATTAAATACAAAAATATATATTTCTTAAAGTCTATGAATTCCACTGCCTTTTAGTTAAGTTGGGAAAGTCAAAAGGTCTGATTAGGGCCAACAGGTGGCATTTAAAGCGCTAGATTCCTACATGGCCAACTGTAAGATTTGAGTCTCAGACCCTGTAGCTTGAAAATCACATTGGGTGCAAGGCTGTGTATGCCCTAAAAAAAAACCCAAGAGGAGAATGGAAAAGAAGAGATCACAGCATGGTCATCCCCCTGGGGGGTTTTTTTCACTTTCTCTCTCTCTCTCTATCTCACTCTCTCTCTTTGTCTCCCTTGAGTGAGTGCATATACATGATAGCAAAACAACTAAAAAAAAGGCAATTAATTTATGTTATACCAATAGAGAACTATAATGATATAAAAGTAGCTAAATGATTAAATGTTAACTTTTAAAATTTAATAGAGGGACCAGCAAGTGGCGTAATGGCTACGTCGCTGGACTCCCATGTAGTGGACCATGGTTCAAGTCCCAGACCCGGTGGCTTAAACTCACACCAGATGCATGTGCGTGCGTGCCCAAGATCCCAAGAGGAGAATGGAGGAGAAGAGATTCCAGCGTTGCCATCCCCCATGGGGCATGATTTCTTGCTTTCTGTCTCTCTGTCTCTCTCTGTCTTTCTGGTGAGCGCATGCTCCCTATAGCAAAAACCTCTCCAAAGAAAAAAGAAAGAAAAAGGAAATTTAATAGAAATACTTGGGAACCAGCAGGTAGTGTGGTGGTTAGGGCATTGGATGCTCCCACATGCCTGACCACGGTTCGAGGCCTGGACCTGGTGGCTTGCTTCCTCACTTTCCTGCTCTCTCTCTATGTCTCTCCTTGGTCAAATTAAAATAAATTAATAAATAAAATTAAATAAATAATTTTTAAAAGTTAATAGAAATACCACGAGACTAAATATTTATTATTTATCTTAGTATTTGTTGTAGTTTTTTTTTTTTTTTTTTTTTTTTTTTTTACTTTTTAAAATAGAGTTTTAGGGGAAATATAATTTTAAATATATTGTGTAGAAATAGGATTTGGTGGGACCAGCAGTTAGCGTAATGGCTATGTTGCTGGACTTCCATGTAGTCAACTGCAGTTCGCGTCCTGGACCCGGTGGCTTAAAACTCACGCCGGGTGCATGTGCGTGTGTGTCCAAGATCCCGAAAGGTGAATGGAGGAGAAGGGATTGCGGCGTGACCATCCCCCCTGGGGGGTGATTTCTCGTTTTCTGTCTGCCTTCTTTCTGTCTGGCGAGCGCATGCGCCCCATAGCAAAAACCTCTCCAAAAAGAGAGAGAGAGAAAAAAAACAAAAGAAACAGGATTTGGTTCGCTTCCATAAGACTGTGCTAAGAACTGAGAATATACAAGATTTCCTCCAGGACTGGTCCTGTAGTGCAACAGTTAAGGGAGCTGGGTCCCACATGGTTGACCACTATTCAAATATCAGCCCTCTGGTTTGAAAAACATCCCATATGTGTATGCATGCCCAAAGTCCTGATGGGAGGGAGAAATGAAGAGAAGAAGAATGTGGCATAACTACAACCCATTAAGAGTTTTTTTGTTTTGTTTTGTTTTGTTTTGTTTTTCCCTCTCTCTCTCTCTCGGGAGCAAAAAAAGAGCAAAATAAATAAATAAATAAATAAAATTAAAAAAGGAACTCAGTCTTGCAACAGGACAATAAGTATATTAGAAATTTTTGTCCAAGTACACATGCACATATGGAAGTCTAGTCCTTACAGCAACATTTATAATAATAATAATAATAAAAAAGAAAACCTGGGACTAGTCCTGTGGCCTGATACTTAAGGGAAGCTGGATCCCTCATGGCCAACCATGGTTTGAATCCTGGCTCAGAAGGCTTGAGAAACACTCCAGGCACATGTGCATGTGTACCCAAATCTAGACAGAATGGAGAAATGGAGGAGATGCCCCATTAGGGAGGTGCTTTCTTCCTTCCTCTCTCTCTCTTTCTGTTTCTTTGGCTAGCACACATACTCTCTGGCAATTAAAAAGAAAAAAAATAAAAACCTGGCCACAACTATCCATGAATGAAGGACTGACTGTCCCATGAAATGGTATGCAATCATTTAAAGCATAAGGCAGGTGCACTAATATAAAAGGCATTTAGCATTTTATTTATTTATTTAACCAAAGGGCATATATGCTCCCTGGAAAGAGAGAGAGAAAGAAAGAGAGGGAAGGTGAGAAAGCACCCCCAGGGAAGATGGCCACATCGCAATCCCTTGACCTTCATTTGTCCCTCCTTTTGGGAGTTTGGGCACACATATATATGTGCCTGGCATGCTTTTCAAGCTGCTGAGTCTAGGACTTCAAATGTGCTATTGGCCATGTAGGATCCGGTTGCCTCAACCACCACACCACCAGCTGACTCATGCCAATAATTTAAAGGAAAAAGTAAGCTACAGAAAAATAGGTACCCTTTGATCACATTTAGGAAAAAAGTACTGACTGTACCTACTATACATATGTATAGGCATATGTATTGGGTGGTTGGAAAAGTCATGATGTATTTTTATACATGACTTTTATACATCATGACTTTTCCGACAACCCAATATATACAAGGGTCCAGAAAATTACATGTTTTTAGGTTTTTAAAGTTTATTTATTGGGTTGGAAAAGTCATGATGTATATTTCTATGTTTTTCTACACAAAATTGTATGATTACTTTTCTGAAAACCCAATATTTCTTTCATGTTAGAAAAGAAAAATAGAGCAATAAATGATCAATTACAAAATTAAAACATACTTAGCAAAAATTGTCTTATGGACCAGTCCTATAGCCTCATAGTTAAGGATGCCAGATCCCGCATGGCTGACCATGGTTCAGATTCCAGTATGGCAGCTTGAAAATCATGCTGGATATATGTGTGTGCATGCCCCCAAAGCTCAACAGTATGGTGAAATGGAGAAGGGACTGCAGTGTGACCACATCCCACTGGGAGATGCTTTCTCTCACTCTCTGTTTTTCTCTCTCCCTCTCTGGTGAAGATTTGCCCACACCTTCTGCAAATTAAAAAACAAAAACAAAAACAAAAACAAAACAAAAAAAAACCTCTTACATATAAACAATAACTATTTAGAAAACATGGTAGGGAGATTACTCTTATAATACAAAAATCATTAACATTAAAAAATGAGCAGGATTTATGTAAAGACTTTCTAAGGGGTATAAAAGACTTGACTAAAGAGCCAAATAGACATTCATTTATTCATTCTAATAATTTATTAAGCATCTACTGTGTGCCAGACACCATTTCAGTGAATAAGAATATATTGGATGGCCAACCTGGACCTGGCGGCTTGCCTTCTCTCTCTTTGTTCCCCTTTGGTCAAAAGGAATAAATAAAATAAAGCTAAAATAAGTTTTTTGAAAGAATACATTGGAGAGGAACCAGCAGGTGGTGTAGTGGTTAAGGCACTGGACTCCCACATGGCTGACCATGGTTTGAATCCCACGCCCTGTAGCTTGAAACTCATACCAGATACATGTGTATATGTGCCCAAAAACCCAAGTGGAGAATGAAGGAGAAGGGATTGCAGCATGGCCAGCCCCCTCCGAAGGATGGTTTCTCACTTTCTATCTCTGTCTCACGAGCACATGTACCCTATAGCAAAAGTCTCTCCAAGAAAAAGAATATATTGGAGAACAAAAGAGACAAAAATCCTTACTCTTATAAATTGTGCATTCTAGGGGGTGAAATAGGCAATAGTAAAATTAGTAAAATAGTGAGTTTGTTAAAAGTTGAAAAATGCCACAGAAAAGAATAAGACAGGGAAGAGGCATAAGGAGAGTCAGAGTATGGCGGTGTATTACAATTTTGAATAGGGTAATAAGAGAAGGCCTCCCTGAGAATGAAACACTTGAACAGGGAATCTGAGGGAGGCGAAGAGTGTGGGCCATGTGCATGTAGGTGAAGACTTCAAAAAGTTCCTGGAAGGGGAACCAGCAGTTAGCGTAATGGCTATGTCGCTGGACTCCCACTTAGTTGACCGCGGTTCGCATCCCGGACCTGGTGGCTTAAAACTCACGCTGAGCACGTGTGCGTGTGTGCCCAAGATCCCGAGAGGAGGATGGAGGAAAAGGGATTGCAGCGTGGCCATCCCCCCTGGGGGGTGATTTCTTGCTTTCTGTCTCTCTGTCTCTCTTTGTCTGTCTGGCGAGCGCACGTGCCCTATAGCGAAAACCTCTCCCCCCCAAAAAAAAAGTTCCTGGAAAAATGGAATGAAAGCATAATTTTATTTGGGGGCAAAAGGATTCATATTGATACATAGATTTTGGGTTTTTTTTAATTGTACATACTTTTCCAGGAACTTTTTGAAAACTCCTCAAATAATGGAAGAAAGCTCCAAGCAAAGGGAACAGCACGTTAAAACATCCCTAAGACAGGAGTTAGCCCCGCATTGTAGGAGGAGAGTGAAAGGGGATGAGTGAAAAAGAGGAGCCGTGTGTGTGTGTGTGTATGTATACCTATGTATGCACCAAATGGTAGAGGTTATATAGGGTTTATGGATCATTCCAGACACCACTGTACACACAGGATATTTGGATTAGAAAATCTAATAATGCAAATATGCCAATGATTCTCTAATTTAGAGTTTCATTGTATTGTACATATATACTAAAGCTACAATAATTAAAATAGCATAGTACTAGTATAAGATGGATCAAAAACATAATTTTTTTTCTTAAACAAGACTTCATTTTATTTTGTTTTTTAGTTTCATTTATTACTACTATTCATGATAGAATGTGAGGGCATATGCATGAGAGAGAGAGAAGAACCCTCAAAAGGGTCTTGTCACATTGCAGTGATCCCCTTCTCCCAGTCCTCTGGTCCATCAGATCTTGGGCATGTACACATACACCAGGGTGTTTCCAGGCTGGTCTGGAGATTTGAACCTATCTATGGTCAGCCATGCAGCTTCTAGCACTGCAGTTCAGTTTGCTACCAACTGTACCACCAGGCTGGGCCAAAGAAACATGATTTTTAAAAGTCTAGAACAGTCACAAACCAAAGCATTAGTGATATCTAATATACAATCATGGTGGTAGTTCAAATCAATAGGGGAGAAAAGACAGTCTAATAAAATGGAACTGGGACGATTGTTAGCCATTGGAAAGAATGAATATGCAATATGAATTCTTGATGAATTAAAAGAGTTAAATGAGAAAGAAATAGAAGAACTAGAAGAAAAAATGAGTTTTGTAACCAGTGGGCTGGAAAGGTCTGATATGCATAACACTCCAGCCAGAACTCATAATGTATGTATGTGCTACAAACCCAAGAGAAACTCCACCTCTACCACAAGGAAATAAATGTGGCTGTGTGAAGAGATTTACCTACAAACGTGATTATCACAGTATTTTTATAGGAGCCCAAAGCTGGAAACAATGAAAAAGCATTTGGAATTCACTAAACACATCGTTGGGTTTTTGTTTTTGGCTACAGGGCATGTGCACTCACCAAAGAGAGAGACAGAGAGACACAGAGAGAGGGAGAGTAGAAAGCAACCCCCATGGGCCTGGTCACAATGCAATTCCCTTCTCCTCCACTTCTACTTACTTTCAGGATTTTGGACATGCATGTATATGCACCTGGCATGTTTCTCAAGCTGCTGGATCTGGAGCTTGACCTGCATGGTCAGTCATGTAGAATCTAGCTGCTCTAGCCACCATGCCACAGAGCTGGCTCAACACATTGTAGTAAATTTATATGATAAAATACTATGTCATTATTAAATACACACTGTACAAGAATGAATCAGAGAAAATCTTAAATGGAGAATAAAAAGGTTACTAACAATGTGACATATATCACAGTGTATTAAAGACAACATATGGAGATCAGCAGATGGCATAATGGTTACTTCACTGGACTCCCAAGTAGTCAACTTCAGCTCGAATCCTGGACCTGGTGCCTAAAAACTCATGCTGGGTGCACGTGCATGCATGCCCCAAATCCCAAGAGTAGGATGGCAGAGAGGAGATTGCTGTGTGGCCACCTCCCCAGGGGCTGATTTATTGTTTTCTCTCTGTCTCTCTGTATTTCTCTGGTAAGCACACACATCCTATGGCCAAAAATCTTTCTCTTAAAAAAACAAAAACAAAAACATATGGGGGCTAGTAGGTGGAGTGGTGGTCAAGGCACTGAACTGCCACATGGCCTACTGTGGTTTGAGACCCAGACTTGGCAGCTTGCTTTCTCACTTTCCCCTTCTCTCTCTCTCATTGTCTCTCTCTGGTGAGCACACATGCCCTATAGAAAATTTAAAATAATAATAATAAAAAATAAAATTAAATGAATTTTTTTTAAAAAAATAACATATGCAAGTATTTTGGGGAAAAAATGGAATTGAAGTATGAGTTTGTTTCCATGCAATTTTACAAGCTATGCATAGTTTTTTCATAACACACATTTCCATGAACTTTTTAAAGATTCCTTATATTTATAGCTCCATTAAAATCATTTCTGTTGTCTGTTAGCTTACTTAAATCATGAACAAAATTATGAATAAGGGGAGAGTAAGAGGAGATGAGGAGAGAGACAGAAAGAGAGACAAAGAGACGGAGAGAATGGTGGGGACTGGATAGATCAGGAAGCACTTGAGAGGTCATCATTAGAATTTGACTTTTATTCTGAGTGAAATGTGAAGATATGGTGTTTTTGTTTGTTTGTTTTTGTTTTGTTTTGTTTGTTTGTTTTGAGAAGTTTTTGCTATAGGGCACATGTGCTCGCCAGAAAGACAGCGAGAGACAGAGAGACAGAAAGCGAGAAATCACCCATTGGGGGCGGGGGATGGCTACGTCACAATCCCTTCTCCTCCATTCTCCTCTTGGGATCTTGGGCACACACACACATGCGCCTGGCGTGAGTTTAAACCACTGAGTCCGGGACTTGAACCATCGTCAACACATGGAAGTCCAGTGACATAGCCATTACGCCAACTGCTGGTCCCACTTTTTTTTTTTTATTTACATTTAATCACTGTACATCTTTACAGTGTATAACATGGTTTTTCCAGCGTGAATACAGAGCTTATTAGTCAACTCAGAGACATCATCATACATTGGGTTATTGGAAAAATCATGACATATTTTCCTGGTTTTCTATGCAAAAATACATCATGACTTTTCCAATGATCCAATATATTATCATCAACAGATAACTTTACATTTTTGTGTCTCTTAAATGATTTGTTTTTTTCCCTGATCCCCTCTCTCTCAGCCCCTAATACCCTCCTTCTTCTATACTGTCTTCAATGTCTACAGTTGCCCTCCCAAATAGTTTGCTTTGACTCTCATTTTAAAAGGACACCCTGGCTACTATGTTGAGAGTAGACAGTAGGAATACAAGTGTGTAGGCAGGAAGCCTGGTGCAGGACCATCACAATGAGAGGTGAAAAATAAGCATGGCTCAGTGTCCACAGGTGGTGTGGTAGCTAAGGTGCTAGACTCCTATGTGGCTAACCATGGTTCGAGTCCTGGACCCAGCAGCCTGAAACTCACATTAGGCATGTGTACGTGTATGCCTAAACTCCCAAGAGGAGAATGAAGGAGAAGGGATTGCAGTGTAGCCATTTTCCCTGAGAGGTGGGGGTGGGGTGACTTCTCACAAAAGGAAATAAAAGAAACAATTCAGATAAAAATATCAGGAGGGTGGATTTGGTGGTGATGATGGGCGTTCTCTGCTTTTCTGCATTCTCCAAGTTTTCCATAATGACTATGTAGCATTTTGGTAAAGAGAAAAAAATGTTTTGGAATACATGTAAGTATATATTAAACATGTTGAGAAAATTATAAATCCATGTACTGAAATATATTTAGAAGAAAAACTACTTTTCTTAAGCTAGTCATAGGTTGCTGCTTTGAATCATCTCAGAAAACGTGCTTTTGAAACCCCTCTAGGATAAATGGACAACTAGTGGCCTTAAAAGTCATCAGCATGAACGAAGAGGAAGGGGTCCCATTCACAGCTATCCGGGAAGGTAAGGACAGTGATAGAAATGCACCCAAGGGATCCATTTTGAGTCCTCAATTTGAATTAAAAAAAAAAAAAAAAGCATTGATTCTATCTATTCAGCATCCAGTTCTTGATATTTGCAAAAGTAATATAATCACAATTTTATTCTGTATATCACTTTTCCAGGTATATTTATGCTATTATATTATTATTGAGGAAGATGCAAAGCTGTTATAGCACAAGCGAGTATTTACTAAATACTTTCCACATTTGTCCTCATGCTAAGTGCCAAGGATAGATCTATATAACCCCAGAAAATTCATATAAAAGAGAAAAAATAGGGCCAGCAGGTGGCATGGAAGTTAAGGAGCTAAACTCCTACATGTTGGCTATGGTTCAAGTCCTGGACCCAGTGGCTTAAAAATCACACTGAAGGCATGAGCATGCATGCCCAGAGTCCTAGGAAGAGGACAGAGGAGAAGGAATTGAGGTGTGACTGATCCTCCTCCGACCCAATCCCCCTAGGGGATTTCTCATTCCCTTCCCCTCTCTGCCATGAGTGCATGCACCCTATAGCAAAAAACTAAGAGAGAGAGAGAAAATATAATATAAACATGCAAATTGTTAGTGGGTGATTTGCCTGACGAAGTCTATTTAGATAGCATTTGAAAGACTCCTGGGGAAGGCAATACATACTTGTAGTGCTGCTGTATCTTCTCTGTACCCGAGGCAATATCGCAAGTAGGTAGGGAATCTGGTATAGACTACAGTTTGAATCATAGGTCTCCGTTATTCACGGTGGGACGTTGGCTAGATGACTTTATGTATCTAATACTCAGTGTATTGTAGAAAGAGAATAAAAATAGTACATATTTCATTGCGCTATGAGGATTAAATGAGAATATGCATATGAAGCCCTATCACAGAATCTATTTTCAGAATTCAACAAATATTGTCTATTATTCCATTATAGCTCCTTTTCCTTGGTGATATCTTGGCCATCATCAAGATAAGTAATAAAATGAAGAAGCCCATATAATGAAAACACTTTTTTTTAAAAAAGATTTTTGCCATAGGGCATGTGTACTTGCCAGAGTCAGAGACAGGGAGAGGGAAAGTGAGAAATCACCTCCTCTTCCCCTCAGGAGGATGGCCACATTGCAATCCCTTCTCTATTCTCCTCTCATGGTTTTGGGCATGCACGCACACACTGTATGTTTTTCAAGCTGCCAGGTCCAGGACTAGAACTGTAGAGTCAGCCATATGGGATCCAAAACCATAACAACACCACCATCTGCTGGTCCAATGAAAATATTTTTTTTCTTTTTATTCATCATAAAGAGCATGCATATAAACATGAGAGTGAGAGAGAAAGAGATGGGCACTTGCCTCATGGTCTGGTCACACTGAGATCGATTTCTTCCATCCTCCAGGCCATTGGATCATGGTCACTTGTGTGCATGCCTGGTGTGTTTCAGGCTGACAGGGCTGGAGATTTAAAACACACTCATCATGTGGGATCTGGCTTTTCTTGAGCAGTGCATTACCTCTGCACCACAGAGCCTGTCCAAATTATTTTAAAATATATAATTTATTAACCTTTACAAGAACCATTTGAAATAAATGATAATAGGATTACTTTCCATTTCAGCAAAAACCCAGAGAAATGACACTTTCATGGTCTTACATTTTCCTTCTCGTAGCTACTCTTGTTTACTGAGCACATATTACAGGCAAAGCATAGTCCTGGATGTTGTGAAGGAAAAGAGCCCAGAATCTTTGCTCTAGATTGTCTTCTGTCTTAGGGCAGAAGATTCAAGTAATGACAAGTGTATAAAAGATGTAAGCTAAGACGAGAACCAGTTAGTCACAGCATAGTTAGTGGAGCCAGCAGATTTTGGACTGTGTTTAGAGGACGGGTTACAGATATGGAAAAAAGTCATTCAGAAAATGAGTTTATAACTGAATTTGATGCCATTTTCAAAAGTCTTTCTGAGCCCCTGGGACATATGTCATTTTGAGTTTAGAACAGCCACATAACTATCAGTTTAGCCAGGGATTCGTCCTGGTAGGATCAGGTGCATTCTGGAGGAAAGCATGGTTTTAAGTGTTTAATAGAATGGAAGCTGCGTTTGCTAATGTAATTATCAGTGGTCCCATAAAAAGATGATCAGATTTAAGAGATATGCAGATAGGTCAGAGAGTATTTCTAAGCATAATAGAAATTCCCAGGTCACTTGCTTATAGAGAGGGTCTGCAGGCCCCAGTTTACTTCATTGTGGTAGTATTGCCTTTGTGAGTTGGAGGTTTTGACTATTGCTTGAGGCCAGCTTTGCTCCCATTTTGCCCACAGCCAAGTTTTTCAGGTTGACATTTGATGGTAACAGGGAAATCTTTTGCCAGTTCTGCTAACAGATGGTTCTCAGTATGGTTCAGAAGAGCTGGATCTGTTTCGTTCTGTATGCTAAATGTTTCTTTCATTGCATATTTACCAAGCAGGCCCCTCTCCATCCCAGGTGTTTAAAATTATATTTAGTATTCAACTGTGGACCTCCTTGGTTTGTTTTATGGACTTACCTTACTAAATGTGTTGATGTATAACATTAAAACCACAACAGAATTTTTGACACATTGGAGGTTGTTAGGAGTCCAGTTTCCAACAATGCATGTCTCTTTTTCCTCTGGTGTAAAAAATCTGGGAGTCCTTGTGAGAAAAACTCTCTCCCCTCAAGATCTGAGGCCTCATTTGAAAACTTTGGCACTGTCCCATTTTCCCTGTAAGAACTTTAAGGATGGGAGACCAGGGAGACAGGAGGTTAAATGAGAAGGGCTGGAAGGCAAAATAAGAACAGCTGGAGTTCATTAGTTAAAATTCAAGGTTACTAGCAAAAAAGGGAACTGAAAGCCTTGTGCAGAAAAACTGAAGGAGTAATACAGCTGCCTTCTTTTTTGGAGAGGTGTGTTTTTTGTTTGTTTGTTTGTTTGTTTTTTTCCTATAGGGCATGTGCTCTCACTAGAAAGACAGAGAGAGACAGAAAGTGAGAAATCACCCTCCTCCCCAGGGGGAATGGCCACACTGCAATCCCTTCTCCTCCATTCTCCTCCCAGGATCTTGAGCGCACACGGTGTGAGTTTAAACCACTGGGTCCAGAACTTGAACTGCAGTTGACTACATGGGAGTCTAGCGACACAGCCATTAGGCCAACTGCTGGTCCCCCATTGCAGCCTTCTTCTAAAAGCCTGGAAGCATGACTTTTCCTGAGCAGTCTGACTGCTCTGTTGGTGAAGCAGCCAACGACGTAATGAGTGGGACTTTACTACTTGTACAGCTTCCCTCTGCATAGGCAGAATAAAGTATGTGGCAGTTCATTAGTCTGGTCATTTAGATTCATTTAGATTACTATTTGTTTTCATTTGAGTTTTTGGGTTTTGGGGGTTTTTTATGAGGGATTTTTTTTGCTATAGGGCATGTGTGCTTGCCAGAGAAGCAGAGAGAGACAGAGAGATAGAAAGAGAGGAACCACCTCCCGGGGGGATGGCCACGCTGTAATCTCTTCTCCTCTGTTTCCCTCTTGGGGTTTTGGGTGCACATGCGCGCACACACCCAGTGTGAGTTTTAAGTTGCTGGGTCTGGGACTTGAACCATGGTCGACTACGTGGGAGTCCAGTGCATAACCATTATGTCATCTGCTGGCCCCTTCATTTGATTTTTTTTTTTTTTAATTTCTTCCATGTGAGAGAAGGAGAGGAAAACGGGCATTCCCAACAGGGTCTTTATGCTGCGATCCAGTTCCAGCATCAGCCCAGATCATGGGCACATTCGCAAACTTGAACCAGAACCTTTTCACATGGGTCCAGCATTGCAGAACATTTCGTTGCACCTGCACCAATGCTGCTGGCCCTCCTTTGTTTGTTTGATTGTTTTTAGAATTATTTATTTAACTTTACTTATTATTTTAAATTTGATTAGAGAGAGAAAGAGAGAGAGGAAAAGTGAGATAGCAACTGCCAGATCCAGGATTCAAACCTTGGTCAGTCGTGTGGGAGTCCAGTGCATTAACTACCATGTACTAGCCAGTCCCCCTCATTTGATTTTAACCTGTAGTGTTACAAAGTTAGCAAAAGTATGAACATTGCTAAGGGAAACATATCTTAATCATGTGCCAGTACTTTCCGTATCTCTTTTAATCCTCTTAACTTTTAGAGAGAGATAATATGATTTCAATTATAGCTGTAATTCAAAACAAATCTGACTGAAAAATCCATACATTCTCTATGCATTTGTTCTACAAATATTTATTAAGTACCTATTATGGTCTGGCATTCTGTTGGTTCCTAGGATACAGTCTTGCACAAAGTAGACATGTTCTCTACTCTCATCGTTTTTCTAATTAAAAAGATCAGAGGCTGAGAGGCAGTCCTGGCACAACCCTGCTCCATGGCAGAGCTGTGGAGTCCCTACCACACACCATGGCCCTGAGGGGGATGTCATTGTTTCATGTTGTTTGACCTTGGTGACGGTGTTCTGTTTTACTTGTTTTGTGTCTTAGACTGCCTTTTGATGGTTGAGTCATGTGTCAATGAGTAAGTCAACTAATTTCCCACTACATGTAACTTCTGGACATTCTTAATACAGACTTAATTCTTCGAAGTGGAGATGCATGCAGAGCTGTGTTTTAAAGCCCCACAACTGGGCTCTGAAAGGGGACAGATGGACTGGCAAAAATAGTCTTCTCAGTGTAGTAGGTCATAGTCTTGATTAGTTTTTAAAAGATCATGTGTATGGTGTGATTTCTATACCAAAGAGTTGCTTCTTCCAGTATCAGAAAAATATTTTTCTTGTAAGTCCTGAAAATTGCTATTATCAATATTTATAAAAATAAACTCTTATTAAAAGCCAAAATAAAGGAAAAAAGAAAGATCAGAGACTGAGCCAGTCCAATAGCTTAGTGATTAAGGGACTCAGAGCCCACATGACTGACCATGGTTTGAACCCTGGCATTGGATTCTTAAAAAACAATATGG